CTACTTTAATCTACCAATCTCAAAAATTATCCACATATATATATAAAAAATCAGTCTTTTATTTGCATATATAAGTGGATTTTTTTTTGAGATTGGTAGATTAAAGTAGACATCCATGTAGGGAAGGTGAAACATAAAAATAACTGTAAAAATAACTGTAAGCAAACTGAAAAATGAAAAAATGCCTGTAAGTGGTAACTGGTAACAACTTAACAAGTAACAACTAACATGTTGACACTAGTAACAGGCTGAGGTTGACAACATTACACCGAAATCTTTTGTGCAGTTTTATTCTGTAATTTATATTATGTATGTATCATGCTGGTTTTTAATAATATTTAGTACTATTAAGTAAAATCTAAAGGCTTTGTCTATAAATGTAGCGGTAGCGCTGTAGCGGCAAAACCTCGTATCGCTACTTAAATATGTTGCGGGCGCTGCCGCTACCGCTATAATTGCTTAAATGTAGCGCCGCTACCGCTACTGAAAATGTAGCGGCCGCTACATTTAGCGCGCTACTGCCCACCTCTGGTTGTAGGACATATCGCCCTACGCAGAGAGTAATCCTCGTCTATGAATTATTTCATAATAATATAACTATTTATTTTTGAATTATTTAACAAGGACTGCATCCTGTGACGACAATGAAAGTTGTTCAAACATTTAACTTGATATCTTCAGCTGTACAGGCGGCGGTTGCTTCCGTCGAGGTTATCCAAATTAGAAGAAATATCGCCCAGGGGCCATACTTTCATAAAAAGTTAAGAGATCATAAGTTCATCAGCCAATCATTGACGGCCTTTCAAGCAAAATCCACCAATCATAGACAATAAAATAGAGCGTAAGTACTTACGTTCACTTAGCCCGTTTTGAAAGTATGGCCCCTGGTCAGCTTAATTATGGGGGGGGGGCCGAGACTTAACGTTTTGAGGAAGATAAATAAGCAACTACACTAAAAAATTGCTGTGAATATTTCAGAGCTTCAATAATGCATTAATTCCAGAGTAAAGCTCACCTTATTAAATCAAAATAACTGCGCGTACAAGGTGCTTTTATAAATGATGTTTAACAGCAATAGCAATAGGCAGGTTTCCATACGATAGTTTGTACGCGGCCTCATTACTTGTGATTGAAAACCGCGGGAGTTACAAATTTTAAATGCATCGCAACATACCTAAACGAATTGGCATTAGCAACGAAGTTGAACAGTTGAAGTAGAGTCAAAGATTTAAACATAACCAGTAAATCTAAGTAGAGCATTGCCGAAGTTTAATAAAAAGTTACGGTGCAGTTCAAGCAAAGGTTTAGTATTTAGCAGATAATTCGATACGGGGTAACTGACGCTAAGTTTGACGGGCCTGCCAAAGCGTTCGCAAGGAAGTGAAGAACGCATGCACCTTTAAAAAAATCTGGTGGAATTCATTTTAAATTTAATAGTCATAATAATCGGCTTTTCTGGCCAATTTCAAGCCGAATCTGAAGAAGAATCTCTGTCAAAAATGTTCAGATTTCCTACACCACCCTAACCGCAAGGTGCTCCCGCTTCACCTGTGTTTGCCTAGCAGTTCTGAGAAGGCAGACCTGCAGCATCTTACCTCGGCCGCGGTACTGCTCTCCTCTTGGTCTGACGTTGTGGTGGCTCGACGAGAGCGTAGTTCCCCTAATTGATAATTATTTACACTTACAATTTGCTTCTATGATCTTAATGAGGGGGTAAACTGTTTGAGACGTGAGAAATGTAAATTAATTATGGAAAAAAATCTGAAATACGCTACATTGAACACGACTTTCATTAACAGACATAATTACTTATCAGTAAAAATCCAGTTTACTTCTGTCCAAGATAACAACATGCCTTCCATTACCGGCTATATAAGATACGAATTGCCGAGCAACGAGTTTAACGGTGTCATTCGTACTTCAGAAAAGTTAAGGAAATTTCTGTACCCGTCCTTCGACCCTTAAGAAAAACACAGTGAATGAACAATACGGTTAAAGCAAAGCTAAAAGCAAAGAAGGAAGCCTACAAGCGTTATTTACGAACTCGTAGCGATGCTGAGTATAACCTGTATGCTAGAGCTCGAAATCAAGCTAAAAAAGCTTGTCGCACCGCAGTCAAAAATTTTGAAAAAGACGTTGCCAAAAACTCGAAAAAGAACCCAAAAGCCTTCTTCTTCTATGCTAGTTCGAAGTGTAAGACAAGGGACGGTATTACTGATTTGAATGTAAATCAACGGAAGATATCTTCTGACGAGGGCAAGGCCAATGTTCTAAATCAGTTCTTTAGCAGCGTCTTCACAGATGAGGACTTGAACAGTATTCCAGCTATTGAGGAGCAACCAGTGGACTCGAAGTTAACTAGTTTCGAGATACATGAAGAGGATGTTCTCAAGCGCCTGGTCTCCCTGAATCCCAACAAGTCATCTGGATCAGACGGTTTCCACCCTAGATTGCTCAACGAATTAGCAACCGAAGCGATTTTAAATCTACCGTCCGTAAGGCCAGTCTAGTCAAGAAAAGTACAAGAATCGGCGACAGGCCTATCCAGGCCTATTTATTTAATGCCGAAGATACTATACAATACTTAAATATTTTCCTTATCGTCAGTTGGTTACGTATTATATAAACATTTTCCATTTATAAATATCACTCAAAATATTAGCCGAGTACATTTGTGGTTACTTCAACCGATAGAATAAGAACTCGCTTTAAAAAATGTGACCGGGGAATTTAGTCTCCTTTAACCGTGTATTAATCGAGATAATTAAACGGACTTTAAACCGAAGATTTTTGGCAGATTATACGGAATATTCAATCAAATTCAGAATAGAATAGAAGTGTCGGCACACAAGGATCCGGCCTTTTTTATTGGAACCCATAACTGACGGCAGACGTTGATAACTGAGGCTTGGAAGCTTCATAATCTTTAATCTTTCCTCACAGGACTTGCCTTTCAAGCCCGGAATTATCCTTGTTGCGCGTCTCTATTATCCTTGTTGCACGAACACTCTCTATTAAATTTTTGTCCTTGTCAAGTTTCGGTGACCACACGTTTCCAAACTCCAGGTTCGGGCGCACGACAGCAACTAACAACTGCTTCATCGCTTCTGCATCTAGTAACTCGAAAGAGCGTCTGATCAGTCCAAGTCGTTTATTGGCTTCATTAGCTTGACCTTCAATATGCTTAGAAAATTTCAACTCATTGTCCATGTTAACTCCTAAATCTTTTTCCATTGTCAACTTCGACATTATCACTCTGTCGTTGCACGTTGCAACAGTGTCTTCTCATACTGTAATCTTGCTGTTCATTATTCTTGCCAAGGGGAGCGCAGCCGTGGGTAACAAAATGACAGGGAGCTAAAATTTTATAGGCATATTGAAACGCAAGTTAATACATCCAATAAACTGCTTTGGTTGATCAGACGCTCCTACGAGTACCTAGATATAGAAATGATGAAGCTGTTGTTATATAAACATTTTCAATTTATAAATATCACTCAAAATATTAGCCGAGTACATTTGTGGTTACTTCAACCGATAGAATAAGAACTCGCTTTAAAAAATGTGACCGGGGTAATCTTGCTGTTCATTATTCTTGCCAAGGGGAGCGCAGCCGTGGGTAACAAAATTGACTCGTAAACAAGCCCTGGGCCCAACACCAACCATCAGCATGCAATATCTACACATAGCAGCAGATCAATGAGCTGTGTGTAACTCCGGCTAACAGTAAATCCGCTTTGCACAATACAGCCACTGCTCCACAGCGCCGGAGCACAACTGGCCGGAGCGCAACAGGCCCTACCGCAACAGGCGGCGCAGGTTAGGTTAGGTTATGTTGGGAGTAGCTGTTGCGCTCTGGCCAGTTGTGCTCCGGCCTGTGACTGAACGGCGTTGTTGTGGTGGGCGCTTTGTGTCAAAAGCCGTGAAGATGCCCGGCTGCGTTACGCTCGGGAAGGTATATGAATCGCACTGGGGACTTAGGCTATGCTGACCTCTAGCTATCCACCCCTTGCCAAGGTGGATTACTTTAGTTACTTTACCTTTGTCAGCGTTAAAACGCAGCTGCCACTTATCGGCACAGTCAACCAGCCTGTCAAGATCACCTTGTAACTGTACTTATTGCGACGTATTCTTCACTGTATTATAAATTTTTGTGTCGTCAGCATACATCGAGCACACGTTAGTCACAGCTTATGGCAGATCGTTTATAAACGCAACGAATAGAATAGGCCCGAGAACGCTTCCTTGTGGCACGCCGCTGCGCACTGAAACCCGGTCTGATACGGACCCATTAATACTGACACGTTGTCGCCTCCCTACTAGAAAATCTCTGATCCATTTGAGTACATTACTCTCAATTCCCAAAGACTTCAATTTACGCAACAACCGCTCATGTGGGACACTGTCAAATGCCTTGGCAAAATCGAGGTACACTGCATCTACTGGCTCCCTTTCGTCCAGCAGGCGGGTCCATTGGTTCAGAGTAGACAAGAGGTTAGTGGTGCAGGATCTCCCGGCAATTAAGCCATGTTGACAGTCTGATAGAATATTAACAGTCAAATGATCTATCAATCGATCCCTCACAGAACGTAATTGATCCTACACAGAACGTAAGCGCTTAATATCCTCTTTATTCCAACAACATTGAGATTTTTGGCCAGTAGAGCCTTGGCAGACATCAACTCTACGAATCACAGGTTGATTTGCCTTCGAACGACCGCGTGCTAATATCAATATTCAAGTTTCAAAAACATCCGATCAACGGAAAATTTCATGAGAATTGGGCACTTAGAACAGACTCTCTGAATCTATTACTTTTTGCTGAACAAATTTGAGGTAAATTTCACGGCGGTTTAAACGCTTTCACACACTATATAAAGATAAACCGAAATATTCATAAATCCACGGATATTTTTCGCTAAAGCCGAATATAGATGCTCTTGACATAACACTTTGAGATACTTTGGTATGAATGTCACGTACGGGATAGAGAGAACAACGTTAGCTTGCTTTTATTCACCAATTTAATAAATTAGATAAAAGCAGGAATTCGCTGGTCTTCTCAGGTCAGTATATGGGTTCCATCGATGTAGAAGACTGAAAGAAATAAAAAAACTATAATTATTCACAAAATCATGGATCGGTGAATGTTTCCACAGTGAAGAAAATTAAGCTTTAAATTCGAGCTGGAACAGCCATTAACCTACAATCATTCATCACCTACAACCATTAGATGTTGTCATCAATTATTCATGGCTATGATGAGCGAGGCATGAATAAAAAGATTCCGTGTTTTGACTTCAACATAAAACAGACCCCTTTGAAGCAGTCAATTACCTGTATTTGACTAACTTCATCTTCCAACCTAAAAAACAACAAACCAAACAAACAAACAACAATTCATACCAAATTCATTTATACCAAAGCACAAGAAGTAATTTTTTGGGAGAAAGAAAAGCAGGAGGAAAAAAATTGTAGAAGAAATTAGCACTCGTCCATTGGACGGGAATTGAAAATAGCCGTGGGGACAGTAACAACTTCAGAGCCAATGCAAAAAAAAAAGCAATGAAAATAAGAATAACTAACATAATGAAATTTACATTAACGACATATCACTGAAGACTTTGTTGAACCGTAACCGATGTAATCAAATCTGAATGGATCAGAATATAGCGCATAAAAAGGACGGATACTTACCAGCAATTATAATAGTAGAGCATAAGGTGGAGCTTATTGCTTTTTTTTTATTAGACAACGAAAATACATACCAGCAGTTATAATGGTAGAGCATATTGGTTTTGATATAAGATAACGCAAATACTTGTCAGCAGTTATAATGGTAGAGCATAAGCCTGGTGGAGCTTATTGCTTTTGTTAAAAGATAACGCAAATACATACCAGCAGTTATAATGGTAGAGCATAAGGTGGAGCTTATTGCTTTTGTTAAAAGATAACGCAAATACATACCAGCAGTTATAATGGTAGAGCATAAGGTGGAGCTGGCTTATAACTTCTCCTCCTGAAGGCCATATTTGGGGAAGTAGAGCACAGGTCTCTCCTCGCCATCGAAGTCCTTGTAGTCCAAGATCACCACCATGCCGTCGGGGTTCATGCTCTCGCCGGTGAAAAACTGAAGGTCCTGCACCACAAAAATTAATATTTTAGCCCCTGTTAATACGCTTAAAAGTATACGACGGAAATTTATATTTTATTTATTTGGATTTGAATCGGAAATTGCCAAGCAGTAAAAGTTCTACGGGCTGAAGAGTTGAAAGCCAAATATCAAGTCATAAGAAGATCTCATGCTGAATCTTTAGCGGGTAATATATTTTTTCAAGTCACAATATCGTTCAAAATTCATGTACAAAACAAGAATCGTTATTTACCAACACACTAAAAAGTTTCGATGCCAGCAACACCTTAACCTTAGAAACCCAGAAAAATAACGAGGCTTCCACGAGATTGTGAATTTCAACTCTTTTCTGAACTGACATATCTGCCTTGTTACCTTATAGTTCTTAAGGATGTATATATCTGCCTTGTTACCTTATAGTTCTTAAGGATGTATACATCTGCCTTGTTTAAGGATGTATATATCTGCCTTGTTACCTTATAGTTCTTAAGGATGTATATATCTGCCTTGTCACCTTATAGTTCTTAAGGATGTCCTGAAGAGGCTTCTGGATGCCGGGGAGCTTCTCCACAGCATCGGGTTTGCTCTCCTGTAGCTTTTCCTTCAGACTGCAATACAAAAATTCATTTCAACACTCGGATGATGGCTAAATACGCGATCATTACTAAAGCATCCAACAAAAGTGAAGTGCACAAGGCCATAAATATATATATGCATAACTACGAATAACACTTTACATTCAATGATCACACACAAGAAGAATTCACACACATGACGTGCGGTTATGCACTAGGTTGTGCGTTTATATTGACGATATCAAGTTGAGAGATCTATTTCACATCTGATGATGTAGAACAATATCAGATCCACCAAGAAATATTGAATTATAGTTGATTTATCAAGAAATATTTAATTATACCAGGCCTATGAAGAAATCTTGTATTATATTGTACACATGTTATAATGTGCAGGGTTATTCTAAATGATGGACCCAATTCAATAAAATCTCATTTATTCAAGTATAAATTAAAAATTAATAATTTATACCAGTGAAAAGAGAAAGATTAAGATTTTTTTACATATTTATAAATAAGGAATTTAAAAGCAAAGAAAACGCCAAGAAAATTCACCATATCGATATTGAAAACGTTTCGGAGTCCAGCTCCATCATCAGTTCGACTAAACTAAAAATGAATAAAATCACTTTAAAAGTCAAAATTCAAAGACAATTGCTGGTAGAGGCGGGACGTAAACAGAGTTGCTGGTAGATGTGACACGTAAACAGAGTTGCTGGTAGAGGCGGGATGCAACAGAATTGCTGGTAGAGGCAGGACGTAAACGTAGTTGCTTGTAGAGGCGGGACGTAAACAGAGTTGCTGGTAGAGGCGAGACGTAAACAGAGGTGCTGGTAGAGGCGGGACGTAAACAGAGTTGTTGGTAGAGGCGAGACGCAAACAGAGTTGCTGGTAGTGGCGGGACGTAAACAGAGTTGTTGGTAGAGGTGGGACGTAAACAGAGTTGTTGGAAGAAGTGGGACGTAAACGGAATTGCTGATAGAAGTGGGACGTAAACAGAGTTGCTGGTAGAGGCAGGACGGAATCAGAGTTGCTGGTAGAGGCAGGTCATAAACAATGTTGCTGGTGGAGGCAGGACATAAACAGTGTTGCTGGTAGAGGCGGGACGGAAACAGAGTTGCTGGTAGAGGCGGGACGTAAACAGTGATGCTGGTAGAGGCGGGACGTAAACAGTGTTGCGGTATAGGCGGGACGTAAACAGTGTTGTTGGTAGAGGTGGGACGTTGAGTCCCGCCTCTACCTCTTCTAACTTTAAATCTTCAGCTCCAAATTATTCTTCTTGAAACTACACTTAAATATGTACAGATTTATCAAATATGATCCATCTTTCAGAATAAACCTGTATAATAACTGACGATTTGAGGTATCCTTTCAGGTAGAGCAGGAAGTCCTTCTTTGAAGCAAAGCCAGTCTCCTGTAGTCTCATGAACAGCACAACGTCAACGCCAGACGTGGACGTGGCGTCTCCACCTGAGCGTTGCAAAAGTCAGAATTATTATCAGTTATTTTTATTTACTTGGACAGTTAAAATTCTATCATTGAATTGCATGGAAACATTTTACTTAGTCCCTGCCTTTTGTAAAAATGGGAAGGGTTGGAAATTCAAAGTGCGCTATGAAAATATTACTTAAAACAAACTAAAATACACATGTTACTGCAGAGGTGAGTGTATGGGACGCTGGCACACGAGTGCACAAGTGGCTTGATGTATGAGAACGAACGAACGTTGAATTATGTACTGAAAATTAAATTATATGAAGTAAAAGAAGTCTACATTTGATTTCACTTCATTAATTAAATATAAGAAGTTACAATGAGAGACCAAGGCCGAATTTTTCACGGTGATACTGTAATGTGCCTAATATAGAGCTGGCTAATTCCAGACGTCACATCATCGCAATACTTCCTTAGTTAGCCATTGAAAAATTTTACATCTGCAGTATCTATGAACCGGAGTCAACACGCTTGTTAATTTTTATCGTTTCTTTAACTTTGTTATGCAAAAGTATTTTTGAAGGCTGAGAAGCCACTATGTGAAAATCCGTCCACTGTAGATAAGAGCCTAGCAAAATTGATTTCATAATCAATAGTCGGCCAAATTACCAGCAGTCTTTCAACAGCAAACGTGGGTTTATCTAGCGTTGCTGTCTAAAAAAATATGAATGAAATGAGAGAAAATAACTTAATTTTCACCAATTCTAGATTTCTGTTGCTAATTCAAACATTAATATTAATATTTAAATTAATAATAAACCCCAATAATATTAGGTTTTACTATTTTTCGTATATCTTTCAATATTTTGTTCTGATTTTACTCATGTTCTATGTATTATTGAACTGATCATGGCGCTGGTCTCCGAGACGATCTCTAATCGAAGATATTGAGGATTTTTTTGGCATCTTCTTAGCTTTTAAATTCTTGGTAATAAAACTTGGTAGCTTTTACCTAATATTCGGTCACTATAATGCTAATGGTACTAGAAATATTATTTAGAAAAGATATTGAACAATAAGCATTGTTTAGATTTTATTCAATAAAATATAATAATTAGCCACGCAAAAGTATTGGTACATGTTCGAAAACGAACAAAAATAGTTTTTTTAAAGTACTCAAAATTTGCATTTCACTTTAGGCGTACCACTAATCTCATATCGTTATCTAATTGGCCAATCAGAGCAGTTTGTTATTGTTTGCGAGATTTTGTGTTCGGGTGAGATATTATTCATCTTCAAAATTTTATTTAAAATAGCTAAAACATTAGAGTTGCGACAGATTTGAGCCTGATTGGCTAATTAGATAACGATGTGAGATTATTGGAACGTCTAAAGTGAAAAGCAAATTTTGAGTGCCTTAAATAAAGCTATTTTTGTTCGTTTTCGAACATGTACCAAAACTTTTGCGTTGGTAAATTTTTCTATTTCATTGAACAAAATCTAAACACTACTTACTTTTAAAAATCCTTTCTATATAATGTTTCTAGTACCATTAGCAATATACTGAATAAATATTAGGTAAAATCTTGCACATTAACTTTAGATATAGAGAAAACTGCAATGTATCCAGTACTTTTGAGTGTCACTGTATATTCAGTTAAGTCTAGCATCAAAGACCACATGTCAGCTGATAGGCCATAATTGTAAAAAAACAACAATCATGTCAGCTGATTGGCCATAATTGTAAAAAA